AGTGAATGATGTGTGTTCCAATGGAGATGAACTTATCAAAAAGGTATAGTTCAACTATTAGAAAGTCCATATACTGTAAATTTGGCCCTTTGATCCTTTAATACTTAATCACAGACAAGTTTCTATGAAGTTTAATATGAGCTGATAGCAATATCATTGTCATATTGTTTCTTTTTTGCAGGAGAACCACAATGTGGAGAACATCATGGCTAAAATTAAGGCCCTGCGTGGGAAGGTGTCAGAGCTTGAGAGAGCCGCAGCTCAGAGGAAGGCCAAGCTGGATGAGAACTCTGCCTTCCTGCAGTTCAACTGGAAGGCTGATGTGGTGGAGTCTTGGATTGGTGAGTTTTGATATTTCATGCAAATGAGAAGAAACTTTCATTTAAAAGAAGGATTGACAAGAAATAAACTGTTATTTTCTCTTTTCACCCTTGTAATCTGTAACCCATTTGTGTCTTTGGCTTGATCAGGTGAGAAGGAAAACAGCCTGAAGACTGATGACTATGGTCGGGATCTCTCCTCGGTGCAGACTCTGCTCACCAAACAGGTGTGACATTGCATATGACAAACATATCTACAACACATTCGTAAACCATATTCTACATTCAGCACATCAAATCCTTTCAAGCTTTACTGTTAAATCTGACTGTCTTTCCTCTACCCTTAGGAAACCTTTGATGCAGGGCTTCAGGCTTTCCAGCAGGAGGGCATCACCAACATCACAGCCCTGAAAGACCAGCTGTTGGCAGCCAAACACGTGCAGTCCAAGGCCATCGAGGCTCGTCATGCCACCCTGATGAAGCGCTGGAACCAGCTGCTGTCCAACTCAGCCGCACGCAAGAAGAAGCTTTTGGAAGCCCAGGAGCACTTCAGAAAGGTGTGAAGAATGGAATTTGACCTAAAGTGAGGAAATTAAATTCTGTTTTGTATGTCTCTAACTCTTGTTCTTATGTTCGCCACTCAATCCAGGTCGAGGATCTTTTCCTCACCTTTGCCAAGAAGGCCTCAGCCTTCAACAGCTGGTTTGAGAACGCTGAGGAAGATCTGACAGACCCCGTACGGTGCAACTCTCTGGAGGAAATCAGGGCCCTGCGGGATGCCCATGATGCCTTCCGCTCATCTCTCAGCTCCGCAGAGGCTGACTTTAGCCAATTGGCAGAACTTGATCGCCAGATCAAGAGTTACCAAGTGGTATCCAACCCATACACTTGGTTTACCATGGAGGCTCTAGAGGAGACCTGGAGGAACCTTCAGAAGATCATCAAGGTGATATTGGGATCCTGAAGCATCATTTTTTTCAATTGTTTGTGCATATGAAGTAGACCAATATTATTTGGATGACGATGATTGCTGAATATCTGAAACAGAAAATGTCTGATGCCAGTGACATTTTAATGTACGGTAACACTGTACAATAAGGTATAATTAGTTAGTAACATGCATTAGTAGCTAACATGAACTACCGTATATACCTGAATATAAGATGAGGTTTTTGTCCTAAAAATAGGCTGAAAAATGGGGGGTCATGGCCAATCAGGAAGCACATATGTGCCGGTCTCGGGCCTCTACACGAGGCACAGGTGATGCATGCGAGGCATTTGGAACAACGCCTCGGAAATTTTCTCTTAAAATTATTTTCTGTTGAAAACCAGATTTTTTCCCCAAAAAATAAGTCTGGAAAATGGGGGGGGGGGGTCGTCTTATATTCAGGGTCGTCTTATATTCAGGGTCGTCTTATATTCGGGTATATACGGTAACAATGTGTTTTACAGCATTTATTAATCTTTGTTAATGTTAGTCAATCTAAATACTAGGGCTGTCGCACATCAATTTTGGCTGAAAAATTACCCCCGAATAGCCACTTTTGTGTTAGATGAGAAAAGCATTGAATACACACAACAGTTCTGCTGTGGCTTTGTTTGGAACTGTTTTCATTGGCAAAATTGAGCAAAAACGTACAATACTGACAATATTGTGTCCAAAATGTAACACAATATCAACTTAAGTCAGAGACAAATTATATAGAGACATGCCACTTCCTCAATCCTCAATACAACTATATAGGGAAAACCCGTAACGCCAAAGATGGCGGTTGTATGCACATGCCCCGCCCCTCCTGCTGGAAAGCCAATCGTCTGCTTTTAACAGTCAAGCCGGGAAACATGTAAGCCTATCGTCTGGTTCCACTGACGCATGCGCACAGTTGAGGTTTGCGACAGTGGAGACGAGAACCCTTGCGCATGCGTAGTAAACGTATAACCTGTGGGGAAAAAGGCCTTTTATACCTTATTTTGGGGCAAAGTCATCAAACTTTTTCAGCGATTTTTATCATATTTTACTGCTGTTTATATACAAGCAGTTTTTATGTCCTGGTGACCAGTGAAAGTGCAGTTCTGACTCTCTGCCCATTCATTTAGATAGGAGCCTGGTCTTGTTAGTCCGAAATAGATGCCCGGAGGTGTTGCCAAGATGGCGGCCGAGTGGCATGACTTGCCTAAAAGGACTTTGCTTCAGTTCAATAAACAAGATCACATGTGCAACAATTAGATGTTCTAAATCTATTATTAAAGGTTGAAATTAACATTTTATAACTGACTTAATTTGTCTCTTTATAGGAGCGAGAGTTGGAGCTACAGAAGGAGCAGAGGAGACAGGAAGAGAATGATAAACTCAGACAAGAGTTTGCCCAACATGCCAATGCCTTCCACCAATGGCTGCAGGAGACCAGGTACAGGGGACCATCATGCACTACTTAAGTGTTGTGTTCTCTTTCATTATAGTTGAGTTATGCTCGAGGATTAAACACACACATAGCATGCAACACATTTGACTCCACTGCATGACATCACACACATCTGTTTGAATTTAATCAAGCTTTCCTGATCTCCATGTAACTTTCGTAGACGGCCATTTTCATTAGTTTCATCCACTGTTTTTATAGTCTGAAGTCATTGCCTGCTTTGACATGTCTGTTTGGGTGAAGCTCTTTACACAATTTAAACCTACCTGGGCTTGATATGCAACAGCAGTGCTTTGCGCTGGTCACATGTGCTTTCATGTGAGTATTGAGTAGTGGCATTAATGTCACGGCCAGTGTTGGGGAAAGTTACTTTGAAAAGTAATGCGTTACAATATTGCGTTACTCCCTTAAAAAGTAACTTATTGCGTTACTTAGTTACTTTTTTAGAAAAGTAATGTGTTACGTTACTTTTGCGTTACTTTTTTTCCACCTGGGCTGGGCTTGTTTTTTTATACCAAAAAAGATATATTTTTGGGCAAATGTAAAGACCCTTTCACACCAAAAGTGAAATAATAAGCATCAGACTGAAGAAAATGCAGATTTACTCCTGTACAGTAGTGTTCAGTAGAGGGCGCCGCTCAAACAAACCTTTCAGCTGCTGCTGTTCTGGGTAATAGAAGAAGAGGATGCAGGAGAAACAAATTTAACACTTACTTTACCAATAAAAACATATAAAAAAAATCTATAGTCATTTTTGCTTATGGTTTAACTGAAAAATCGGAGGTCAGAAGCAAGTAGTTTGGTCAATAAAGATTAAATGCATAAAAATGTATGTTTTATTTAACATATTTAGGTATTGGAGGTTTGCATAGTGTTCTGATTCTGCATTTCACTGATTTCATTTTGAGGAATATTGAATTTTTTTTGTGCAAGTGAGATGAGTAAATCCACGCTTACATTTAATATAGAACTATAATAACCATCATGTTTACACACAACGCCTCTGCACTTCGATTTGTCTCAACATTAGGACAGAAGAGCTGTCAGTCAATAAAGGGGAAAACAAAGTAACTTGCGTTACTTATTAGAAAAAGTAACTCAGATATTTTGTTGTAAATTTTAAAAGTAATGCGTTACTTTACTAGTTACTTGAAAAAGTAATCTGATTACGTAACTCAAGTTACTTGTAATGAGTTACCCCCAACACTGGTCACGGCTCAATGTTTTAACTGTTTCTTTCTCTCTCCCTCACTTATTTCCCCATTCCTTCGCCCTACTCGCTGCTACCCTGATGCTTGGGATCATTACTTTAATCAGGACTTACCTTCTGGATGGGTGAATATCACAATTTATTTTTCTATTTTACTATAGTATGTGTGTGTGTGTGTGTGTGTGTGTGTGAGTGTGTATGAATTGTTTAATGGGGTTTACTTTTCAGCAAATGGATGTCTAGGGACTGTCATGATAGAAACACACATTTGGTGTAAAATAAATCAGGATTTTGGGAGTTTCAGGGCAGAATAGACCAATGATTGGTTAGAACGAATACAGGGTGCCATCAAGAAGAATCTCACTTTACATATATTTTGCATATTTTACCGTATGTTTTGAAAATATATTTCCAGATGTATTCCTTTCTGTTTTTTCACACTCTTTTTCCATTCCCTCTTCATCTCCCACCTCCCCCATCTCTGAATAGCATAGCCTATCGGAGGGTAATCCGTGTCTATCAGTATGAAGTCGATGATGATCTTTCTGGAAGGTCTTCTCCCTTTTTTCCTCCTCTGATTGGCCTCTTACCCCTCACCCCACACTTTTTGGGGTTTTCTTCTCCTCATGCACTTGAGTCTGATCCCCACTGTAAAGGCTCTGTGTGTGTGTTCAATCCCTTTTACTAACATTCACTGCGATGTGAGGCTTTTTTTTTTAGATGAACCCTTCCAGCTTCTTAATCCAACAAGCCTGGCTACATTTGGCACCAGTGTTGAGGAGTGTGAACACTTCATCTCATTCTTTAACCTTTTTTATTCTTCTTTTTTTCCCCATGTTTCAGTTATTTAAGTTTTTGCTTCATTTTGGGGAAAATGTTCATGCACCAGATTCAGGGTGGAAACTGCAATGTGATTTCCATGATTAGACTTTTTCAATATCCTGATCTGAATTTGAACAGCTGTGCATTAACATTTTTGGACTCTTACATTTATAATATGGCTAGTCAAGGAACTCTGAATCTTTGATTTTGCAAGATCTGTACTTTAAACTAAAGCTAAGCAGTGGTACAAATATAGCAGTTTCTAACCCTGTTGACAGCAGCCCTAATCAAGCATGGTCTGGATCACCATGGATATAAGTTGGCTTTGTTAGCATGACTTTGGTTATTGTAGTTGCATTCTGGGGTGGCTTATAGTTTGTACTCCGTATCTACTACAAAACAATTGGTAAGTCATATTGTCATGTACAAGAAATCCAGGAAGATGTAGGTTACAGCTTTAGAAGTAATGACAGAGGTTGTGCAAACCCATTTAGACAATATAGTGTAACTCATAGTCATGAAAATACACCTTTTTAACTCTCTGGAAATTACTATATATATCTTTAATGATAGTTGACCTAATAACTGACCTAGTGTAGTGAGAGCCGCTCTTGTAAGGTGTGTGGAGTGAGTAAGAGATGTTTCTGGGTGGATGTGTCATGTGTTCTCGGACTTCTGCTGTTGGTTTCATTGCTTTGGTGTGTGGGCAGGTCCTGCATGGTGGAAGAATCCGGAACTCTAGAGTCGCAGCTAGAGGCTACCAAGGTGAGTTTGGGACCAGTGAAAGGGTAATTCAATTTTGAATAACACTAAATGAATCAGTATTAGTGTTTTATCAGTTGCACACTACAGTTCAAACGGTTTGGGTCAGTACGATTTTTTTCAGTGTTTCATGCTCACCAAGGCTGCATTTATTAGATAGATGATAGAGTAAAAACTGTAATATGCTATTGAAATATTACAATTTAAAATAGCTGTTTTTTATCTCAATATATTTTAAAACGTTATTTATCCCTGTGATGGTAACGCTTAATTTCTGGCAGTCTTCAGTGTCCCATGATCCTTTCGGAAATCATTTTAATATGCTGATTTGGTGCATTTTTTCTTATAAATGTTGAAACCTGCTTTATATTTTTGTGAAAACCGTGATACATTCTTTACTTGCTCTTTTGATCAATTTATTGCATCCGCTGACACCAAATTTTTGAATGGTAGTGTGTATTATAGTGAATACCTACTTTGGTTAATGCTCAAGTGTTTTATGTACAATATTGTGAACTCCAGGCGTGGTCATGGAAATTGGAAATTTCCAGTGAATTAAAATAAAAATCTCATGCTCAGCTCTAAATGATTTTATCTGCAAGACCTGCAGTCTTTGATAAAATTGTTTGTCAAAAAAATCCTTAAGTGTACATTTCAATATTCAGTATTTCAACAATTCTGGAAAAAATGCCTATAGTCAGTATAATGTTTTTCTTCAGCTAGAAGTTACTCTGTGTGTGTCTTATTTATATAAAATGGTTTCCAAATAACCCTTATCCATTAATCACAAATAAAAGTCATTTTTCATAAAATGTGTGAACATTTCACTGTTTAAGCCTGCAGTAAAGAGGACATTAAAACACTTGCATAAGCCTCAAACCTGAGACACCCCGCTCTGTTCTAAATGTCTTTTCCCTCTGGGTTCCTCTGCAGCGCAAGCACCAGGAGATTCGTGCCATGCGCAGTCAGCTGAAGAAGATAGAGGATCTGGGAGCAGCCATGGAGGAGGCGCTGATCCTGGACAACAAATACACAGAACACAGCACTGTGGGTCTGGCCCAACAGTGGGACCAACTCGACCAGCTGGGCATGAGGATGCAACACAACCTGGAACAACAGATCCAAGCCAGGTGACGCCTCAGAAACCAGTCTACAATGAAATATTAAGATTATTATATTTGTATGATCTTCTTTAGATCAGATCAGGCTCAGAGTGAGATTAACTTAATTAGTTCCGAGTCCATAACTTTCCCTGTGTAACCATGACTGACTTTTCTCGCAATTCTGTTCTAGAAATACTACAGGAGTAACAGAGGAGGCCCTGAAGGAGTTCAGCATGATGTTCAAGTGAGTTTTCCACTTAAACAAAAAAACATTATAATGCTAAACTTGAGTGCTCTTGAAATGTGATGCAAGTGTTTGTTTCTCAGGCACTTCGACAAGGAAAAATCTGGACGTCTAAACCATCAGGAGTTCAAGTCTTGCCTGCGGTCTCTGGGCTACGACCTGCCCATGGTTGAAGAAGGAGAACCAGACCCAGAGTTTGAGTCCATCCTGGACATAGTGGATCCAAACCGGTGAGAAACCTCTTCTATACATGTGCTAAATATTGTGTTCTGTCTGTTGATGAGCTAACATAACATTTGTTTTATTCAGGGATGGAAACGTGTCCTTGCAGGAGTACATGGCCTTCATGATCAGCCGAGAAACGGAGAATGTGAAGTCAAGCGAGGAGATCGAGAGCGCTTTCCGTGCTCTCAGCGCCGAGAACAAACCTTACGTCACTAAGGAAGAACTCTACCAGGTACAAAATGACAAACCTATGTTTTTGGCCTCAGCTTCATGTTTGGTGTTAGAAAGATGAACTTAATGACCTTCTGTGTTTACAGAACCTGACGAAGGAACAGGCAGACTACTGCATTTCCCATATGAAGCCGTTCCTGGACAGCAAGGGCCGCGAGATCCCGTCAGCTTTCGACTTTGTGGAATTCACTCGCTCGCTTTTCGTCAACTGATCCCCCCCCCCCCCCCCCCCCCCGCCTGCCAGTGACCAATCGGGATGCGTTTTGCCCCTCACAATAACACAAGGCCAAAACTGCATGGATCTGAAATGAAAATTCTCTATAGCATCCAGTATAGCAATATCTGTATCTTGCTATCACTCTTAACCCTGCGTATTTATCTGACACTTCCTCATGCTTCACTGACAATAGTGTAGTGGATCTGTCTGCATTTTATTGTGATTGTTTTAGCTGTTAAGTGCTTTGCTTTGTTTAACACACCTATAGAGAGGATATGCTGTAACATCACCCACAAGACTGCAGTGTGCTTTAATAAACGCTACTGGTTATAACTGGAAAGTGTTGTCGGTGTATTTTTATTAGGAGCATAAATACAGTTTTAACATGAAATGCATATATACAAGTTACAAGCAATCTTAAACAGTCTCAGTCTGTCACCTCATTGGCCAGCTGTTCCAGTACTGCCGTCTCCTTTGCACCTTGTTCCGTTAGCTCTGCACTGAGCTGCCAGATGTTGACGCTACCATCTGCGTTGCCCACTGCCATCAGATTTGTGTGTTTGGGGTTGAACTCCAGGCAATAAGCTGGCTGGCCTCCTGTGTTCTGATCAATTGTGGAGGTTGGCCTTAAAGATCTTCTACCCAAATCAAACATTTGGACCAAACCTGCCGGAGTTCAAATTAAATTTGAGAAATTAGAAAAAAAAAATTAGAGACCATGCTTTTATTTCACACACACACACACACACACATATATATATGGGAGAATTACAAACGTCCCACCTTGTCCTGTGACTGCAGCAAAGACTAGAGGGCGCGTAGGTGACCACCTCACCCAAAACACATATGAATCGGACACCCGTATAGACAGCAGGGGGTGTGGCTGGAGCACACTGTGCAGATGAGCTAAACCATCTGTCCCGACGCTTACAAACAGATTCCTAAAGTCAGAAACACCCAGAGATGTCACAATTACTGCCGACTAGCCTTAAAGTACATATTACACAAAGGAGAAAACATACAGTACCGGAAAATAGCGCAGCGCTCACCTGTGGAAGGGTGAGAAGTGGACTGAGTGTATAGGACCCCTTCGTGGTGAGAAGGAGAACTGCATTGGGTTGCGCAGAGTCACACTCTCACCATCAGGGGGCACTGCTGCTACTGTCCCACTGCTGAAGGAACATTTGAGCACAAGGCCTCCTTCTGAGCCCACCAAGAATGTGTCCAGGTCCCACGGGGAAAGTGCAACAGAGGTTACTCCTATAGTGGTGCTACCTCGGATCTTCGGGGAGAGAAACAAAAGCATTATTAGGTTGAATTGCACCCAAAAAATGTCAAGGTCACATTTAATCCTAAAATCGAACGATTATATTACTTTTTTTATTTTTAATCTACATATTTTCTGATTTAGCTAGGATCAGATATCATTTTACCGAAACAGTTTGACCATATTATGACACCCACTTTGCTTGCTGCTCCACTCTGAGGCATTTGCTGTGGGACAAGGGCATATCCAGAACTCAAGGTGAGTTTGGCTTCGGCTCCATCAACAGTCCACAACAGAACTCTTCCTCCTGAACCGGCGCTCAGAACAACAAACTCCCCTCGGCGAGCTCCTGGGACCCAGTTTACCTGTTTAATCGCAGAAATATCAAGCATTCATCTTTGAATGCTTGTTCATCATGCCTCAGTCATAAACGTTTCTATACCTGATAAACTGGTTCACGGTGGGTGTCTGCAGACATTCCTGTCTGAGCCAAAATCAGGTCCTGTGAGCGGCTGGTGTCCCAGACCACCACCTCGCCACTGTACAGCCCCCCTAATGCCACAATAAAGAAGAAGGGAAATTATCTTGATGAAATGAGCCATTAAAAGGCATTTGTCCCGGAGTGGCTTTCCGTTTTAACACTTAGGAATATTATTGTCAAATAATGCAGTGTGAAACTACTCGGAGAATAGCTAGATTTTTTTAGATGGTTGCTTTCCAGACTTATTTATTGATAAATGTTTGGTTCTTGTGGCTTTTTTCAGGATGCTTAAGAATTATATTTGGAAACATTAAGTCTATTTCCTATTTAGATTTTTGCCATTGTTGCATTATTTTCATGACAATTAAGCAAATTCCTTTTGCAAAAATTCAATTTACATGAAAAAAATATATACAGTGTCGTTCAACAGCTTGGAGTCAGTAAGATGTTTTAATAATTTTGAAATATGTCTCTGGTGCTCACCAAGGCTGCATTTATTTTATTAATAATACAGGGGGGGGGGGTTAATTTTATGGAATATTTATACACTTTTAAATAAGTTTTCTATTGTAATATATTTATAAAAAATGTAATGTATTCATAAAATTTCTGTGATGACAGCTGAATTTTCAGCATCATTACTGCAGTCTTTAGTGTCACATGATCCTTCAGAAATCATCCTAATATGCTGATTTGCTGCTCAAGAAACATGTTATTATCAAATATTGCTTTAATGCTTAATATTTTTGTGAATTTTTTTCAGGATTCTTTGATGAATAAGTTCAAAAGAACAGCATTTATTTTAAATAAAAATATTTTGTAACATTATACTTTACAGTACTTTTGATCAATTTAATGCATCCGTGCTACATGAAAGTATTAATTTCTAAAGTAAAATAAAAAATAAAAACCTTAGTGTATATCTATATGTTATATTTAATAGTGCTATTTTTATTCTGCTTCTAATATTGCTAAATTGCAAGAAGAAGAAAAAAGAATTGTGTCCCGGACAAGATTATTTGTCTAACACGATCAAAATGATTTCAAAATGCCAAGAATGTCCTTCAATTTAATTCAATGTCTTTATGCAAAACACTTCACATTTTATGTTTTTATATTTTCCATTTTGAGATTAAATATAAACCTATACATGCATGTGTCATTGACCCTTTAAGAAAAAAAAAAAATCTTAAAAGCATTTTTTAAATGTGTGTCCATACCAGCAAATACAGACGGCCTCACAGGATGGAAGCACAAACACATGATGGGAGTGGCCACATCAATGATCACGTCTGGCCGCATTGGGTTCAGGTTCTGCCGGTCCAGGTTCCACGTGCACACAGAAGCCTTCTCATTACTCCAATCACCATCATCCACACTAAGCCCAGAAATACATCATTTAAACTGCTTTTATAAACACTGCAAGTGGTTTTATGTATTTGTATGAGGAAAGGACTGTTACCGGCCAAATCCACAGGCTATGACCGAGCCAGTGCAGTTCCAGGACACACTGGTGACTTGCAGACCCCTTTCCTGAGCATCAACATGCTGAAGGCGGTACATGCAGGACACCTGTGCAAGAAATCCCCACGAAGACATAAACTCTAATTTAACAAACTCAATTATTACTACTATTTACTATGAAAGCTTGTTTCCACTTTTTATATCTATATCTTTCTTGCAGTTCCGAGTTTATAGCTCACAATTCTTACTTTTTTTCTCAGAGATGTGAGACAAAAATTTGGAATTGCGAGAAAAAAGTCTGAATTGTGAGATTTGTGAGAATTTAAAAAGGTAATTGCGACTTTTTATCTCACAATTCTTATTTTTTTCCTTGCAATTGCGACTTTACGTATATCTTGCCATTTAGACTTTATAATTTGCAACTTTGATTTTTTTTTATGTCAGAATTCTGACTTTTTTTCTAACAATTCGGACTTTATAACTCATAATTGCGAGTTTAGATCTCACAATTCTTACCTTTTTTCTCAGAATTGCGAGATTATATCTCAGTTCTGACTTTATAACTAGCAATTGTGAGTTTATATCTTGCAATTCGGACGTTATAACTCGCAATTGCAAGTTTATTTCTCACAATTCAGACTTTTTCTCAGAATTGTGAGATTGGAATTGCGAGAAAAAAGATTTGTGAGATATAATTTAACAAAGGAAATTCTTAATTTTTTTTCTTCTCGTAATTGTGAGTTTATATCTCAAAATTCTGACTTTATTCTGAGAATTGTGAGTTAATAATTTGCAATCCGGGCTTTATAACTCGCAATTGCAACTTTTTCTCACAATTACGAGTTTATATCTCAGTTCTGACTTTATAACTAGCCATTGTGAGTTTATATCTGACAATTTGAACTTTATATCTCACAAATCAGACTTTTTTTTATCAGAATTGTGACGAAAACTTGGAATTGCGAGAAAAGAGTAAGAATTGTGACATAATTCAAAAAGGAAATTGCTACTTTTTCTAACAATTCTGACTTTTTTTCCACAATTATGAGTTTATATCTCAGTTCTGACTTTATAAATAGCAATTGTGTGTTTATATCTCACATTTCGGACTGGTTTTCCTCAAAATTACGAGTTTATATCTTACAGTTTAGACTTTTTTTCTTAGAATTGCGAGTTTATGTCTCACAAATCCGACTTTATAACTCACAAGAGCAAATTTCTGTGGTGGAAACAAGCTTCCATAATTGACTGTTTAATAATCCATTACTAATACTATTAATACTATTCTGCATTCAAGGCTCTCACCGACTCATTCTGATCCCCCCAGTTCACCTCGAACCCATCAAAAGCGTGACTCTTGGAGTTTTTCACCAGCTCTCTGATAACCACATCTTCAACTCTACGCAAGAACTCCACCAATCCAGGAAAGTCCGCAATGTCTCGATCTAGGGCGAGTGTTTGGCTGATCGGGTCTTGTGTCTGGGTGCTGTTTTCCAACACATCTTTGGCTTGAGTTTCAGCCTCTGCTGTGTGAACTGGAAGAGTTTGACAGCTTCTCTGGGCAGGAATAAAACGAACACGATACACATCACACAAAATGACTGATACTTCATCAAGCGCATGAATATTCTGGTTTGAGAAGTTAAGCAAACGTGTTAGCTTACTGATTCTTGTGTTTGCTGATGTGACTTTCTCCATGTCGATTCAGCACCAATTAAGTCAAGCGTTTCATCCGTAAACATGTTCAAAGTTTGCCAGCAAGCTAGCAAGAGTACAAAATGCTCTTCAAAATGCTTAGTCTCAATAAGACGTTAGTTAGCTGGGAGCTAGCGATTATTTTTTATAAAGCAAACGGTTTTTCATCATATTGAAGGAGTGCAGTGTGTTCGACGAATCCAAATCTGATTTTATGATGGGGGGGGGACAACAGCATCGCTAATTTTGTAAGATATTTTATTGTATTTGGCCACTGTACAGCGCAGTTCGCTCCTCCATGATTACCCTGGATGTGACATCCGTGACTGCGCTGCCATAGATACCGTGAGCCAATCAATGGCTGTCTGTGCGCCTAACGTGACTGGTGTTAGCTTCTGATTGGTCAACCTATTTTCCGCACTTTCATTTTGATAAAGGCCCCTTTGTACTGGGTCATTCGTACAATTCGGTGCCTTTTGGTCTTTGAACATTTCCAAGAAAGAAATCTAGTTGATTAAGTTTTTTCTCCCATCATAAAAACACACATGAACGTGTCAACGACTGCTCTGTTATTTTCTAATAAATTAAGCTATTGTTTAAAAATATATATTGTAAATAATTGACTGCCACAAACCCTGTAATGAACAATAAAATCAAACGTCTAATATAAACGTTTTAATACTTTTTTCTTTCTTTTTATTTGATCATTACTGATCACAGAACATTTTCACATATGTGTGCGATCTATAATGTCATGTGATCTGTTAAGATAATAAATGCGTAACTAGTAGAACTAATCTTGTTTTTGAAAGAAACATTTCTGTATCAGTTGATTGACAACAAACACATTTTTGCTGATATTATTAAACTATGATTTATATATAAGAAAACATCAATACATGAGGGTGGACAAGACACCGAATTGTGATACATGCTTAAAGTTATATAAATAACAACATTTAAATGATTGATTTTTCACATTTCAGATTACTTTTCAGTAATTTTTTACCCTCTAAAAAATCTTACCAAAAATGAATGCACTTTACAAAGTTACAAAAGACCATGAAAATGTTTGTACCTTTAGGATATAGCATAACAGCTGAAAACATTTCATAAATTAATCATTTCATACTTTCATTGACACACAAAGTAACATTTCATTCAGTCTTCAAGTTCAGATGTAGACTGTTAAATTTTAGATATGGATCGTTTCCTCCTCTCACCGTCAAAATCCGAAGTTCTCATTTGAGGTGACATGGTGCTCATTGACTACATTTATGTGTGAATAAGCCACCATAGTTATACTTAATAACTAATTTGTAATGATAAAATTAGTTCACCCTGTATTTCCTGTAACTGGAGTACATGTTATGCTTGACCATAATTAATTAGCATCACAAAATCAGAAATATTTCTTTTTTACTGAAAGGCTGATGTCCTATCCATGTCATCAATTCATAATTCTTAAACAAGTCAAAGTATCAGGAAACTATGAGGTGGACAATAACTAAACACACAAAATAGAATTATTAAACTATGAATTCATGAAAATGTAATGATAGTGCTTAATATATCACTCAGTATAATAAATCAAGATGACTTAAATATCTAAAAACTAACCCAAAGCAATTTAGTTATAAGCAGTTAAAATGTAACAGATGCATTTCTATGAATAAAATTAAATGGCAATAAATTGTATGAATGTCCTGTCTGCAATAACTCAGTATTTGTACCAACATTGACCCTAAGGCCATGACTCCTGTGACGACAAACCACTCAAAATTACGCTAAATTGTCTAGAAAAACCTGTTAGATATAAAAGACAAAAACTTTCAAAGATGTACCAAAACACAATGTTAAAAATCACAATATGTTAAAAATAAAACTATATAAAAACACATTGTACTCATAAATGTGTTCATTTGTATATCTCCAATAAAGAAAACAGGTGGAGAAAAGACAAGTTTAGAGTTCTTTAAGATTCTACAGGCTTTATTATCTCATTTAAATAATCATTTAATTAGCCAAGCTCAAAATTACAAGAGGAAGTTTTTTTGTGTTTTGTTTTTATTAAAAATGTTTCAAACCTCATGGGTGTCTGTAAAACATTACAATGAAAAGTCAATCAACATAAACCCAAATGTTGATGTGTCAAATGCCCACTTGCCCCACCCGACCCCATTGAACTGTCAACAATAATAACTGCCATACCCTGATATTGACCCCAAATCATTTACAAGAGGTGACAGGAGCTAGCTGGTGCTTTCCTTTTGTCCAATATTATCACATAGGAAAAACAGTGTCAACTCTTTGGGGCCCACCTCTGCATTAAAGAAAATATACAAAAAGAAAAAAAAAAGTGGCTAGGTATGTACGCTATGATTAGATCACTGCACCATGGCTTATTACTTCAACTCACAACCATTCACAGAAAAAAAATTCATTTATATACTTAATATATAAACTGCTATTTACTTCAGTTTAGTCTACAGAGGATGACGTGCAGATTGTTAATATTTCGTGTTTGTCTTTGGAGATGGTTGTAATTAAAGATGACGCAAGAGGCTTCAGAGCAACGAGATGCCACTAGTTTTCCAATGAAGGTATTGTATGTCCAGGGAACTAACTGGGTATAGACATGGTCAGGACAGGAGAGGCTTCAGTAGAACAGAACATGGAGCACAAAAAAATAAAATAAAAAATAAAAACAAAGCTTTTTTTGCTCCCATGATTGGAGGATGAATTCAAAAAGGAAAGAACAGGTACAAGTGATGGAATATGTCCTTATCAGCCTTTAATCATCCTCACCATCATCCTGAAAAGGGGAGGTAGAGAAAAAAAGAAAGAAGATTTGATCCATGTCAGTTTCTGAATTTTGTGCAAATAATAAATGCAAACACTTTACAAGTAAACTTTACATCAATTTTCCATGTCCTAAACCACACTAACAGACACGCATTATAATCCACTATAAATAATGGCATAATTTGCCTTCATATCAAAGCCAAAGCTTTGAATAAAGCGTATATCTTACCTCACCGTCTTCTCCATCATCCTCTTCATCGTCCTCTCCCTCATCCTCATCCCCCTCTTCGTCAATGTCCTCCAAACCCTCCTCCTCTTCCTCGTCGTCATCATCCTCACCTTCACCCTCTTCATCATCCATATCAGGCACCTGAGCAGAGAGAGAGAAGTTAAATACAAGTTCTGACTGTCATTACAGCAAGCGTTTATCAATAATAATAATAATAATAATATTTCCTACCAGGTAGTACTGCAGGGGGTTGGGCCAAATGTCATCTTTAATGACCTCTCCGAGTTCATCAGCCCCTGCGTCAGAGTGATCAGTAAACCAGGTGAAGAAGCTCTCTGGCTCTTCATGTTGCCTTTTCTTCCCTGCCTTGTTCGGTGTCTGTCCAGTACGCTTCGTCAGGTCCTGCATCATACATAATTGCTTAACAGACATCCAAACAGGAACAGCATTAGTCCAAAACTAACCCAAAAAACGTTAACCTACCTTTCCAGTCTTCCATTTGAGTTCAGTGGATTTTGAAGATGGGTCACCACTCTCATTCAAGTGGAACTCTTTTGAGAGGACTTTGTTTTCGAAGTATGGATTTTCATCAAAATACTGGAGAGAATAAAAAATTACAGGTCAGACAATTTAGTTGTGCACTACTTTTAAATTTGACCAGAAGAAACGTTGAAATAATTTACTTACAAAATCTATTCTGTAACCTGATTTGATGTCCTCAAACTCTGTGACCTCCACTCTGGTCAGGTAATGAAGTGCTTCTTCATCCTCCTCACCGAGCAAGGCTGAGACTATTAGTCAAATCAAAAACAATATATTAGTATTGAATATATAAACAACCCAACCAAATTTAATAACACCAAGGATGGGTTTCAATATCTGACCTTGTGGATGGTTGACGAATGTTGTGACCCAGAAGTTTGGAATTTTGGCTATGAGTTCTGATCTCTTCTGGAAGAATGGCTGACGTAGCTTGTTGTACTTCTGCTCTACTTTTAAAATCTCCTCACTTGCCTGCTCGTTCAATCTGTGGAAAGCAACAGAAGCAGCATTAGATGAATCTAAACAGATGTATTAGATGTGCACTTACAAACAATACTTCAGAGGCACTGGTAAGGTTACCTGTCGATTTCATTCTGTACTTCATCAATGTGTTCAATTGCCTCCTGTTGCTCTTTTTCTGAAATGCAAAAAAATAAGTCACTCATTAACCATTTTCTTCATGTGTTATAAAATGTAGTGGGATAAAACACCACGCGTATGCAGTCCTTGTAACATAAAAGCGTGACTTTTTAAGTTACACTCAAATGCAATTATATATAAAATTAACAAAGTAAACACGAGGCATTTCGTAAATCATAGCAAAACAAAATGCAGCATTATATTATGCTAGTTTGATCTAATTAAAAAAATCACAATGGAAAACTTAAAGTGAAAGCGAGGTGTAACACCGGACCACCAGCTCAATCCGGTAGTTTCAGCAGCAGCTGCGCGAGGCCGCGAGGTTTAAACGGTGGAGGCCACGCGTTGGGCCACATTTACCGTTCCCTCAATGAATACCCATTACTGCCGTGCATTAAAAGTTAAACCAGTTCAGAAAGTAATTTCTACCCACTTAAGCGTCAGTAAAACACGTCTACGGTTATATGTGATGCAGCGTGGTTTAGCAACACATGGGGGGAATGGCTCATGATGGCGGGTAGTAGACACAATAACCAGTTGGCCTATTAGCACACAACATGGGCTCAATACAACGCACACATTATTTGAGTCACTATGGGTTTAAAACGACACGCTCGAGCACATGAGTGGAAACAATTAGGAAATTTGCGTTTTGATAAACCAAAAGGCGCGGGAGCGCAATGTTCGTCGCGCGTGGCACAATAAAGCCGTCGCGCGAGGAAACATGGCCTCCGGTGCGCGCGGTATCCTTTTACTGAAATTACAACACAAAATCGACTTGTGTTGGATTAAACGGTCACAGACTCGGGCTTTTATTAAAGATTAAGATAAAAACTAGGCGAATAATTCAAATTGATATTCGTGCTTTAAACGCAAGAGGTGTAAATTACTGAAAATGGCGGTGCGCAGGAGGCCGCCATTACTTTACCCGAGGTCTCGTCCGCTCCGTCGTGATTCGAGTTCTGCTCCTTTCGGCTCACTTTCGCCGCCGACGCCGACATTATTCCCCCA